TGAGCAAAAGAGGCCTCAAGGCCCACCCCCATAGTGACACACTTCCTCTAACAAGGCCATGCCTCCTAATTGTGCCACTTTCTTTGGGGGCCATTTTCTTCCAAACCACCACATTCTACTCTCTGGCCCTCAAAGGTAAAATGTGTTTAGTCCAACTTCAAAAGTTCCCGTAGTCTATCACAGTCTCTATGTTTAAAAGTCCAAAGTTGAAAGTCTCTTCTGAGATTCATGCAATCTCTTTTTTTTTCTTTTCTTTTTTTTAAAAATTTATTTATTTATTAAAGAGTTCTGTCTCTTCCCCGCCACCGCCTCCCATTTCCCTCCCCCTCCCCCAATCAAGTCCCGCTCCCTCCTCAGCCTGAAGAGCAATCAGGGTTCCCTGCCCTGTGGAAAGTCCAAGGAACCCCCACCTCTATCCAGTTCTAGTAAGATGAGCATCCAAACTGCCTAGGCTCCTACAAAGCCAGTATGTGCAGTAGGATCAGAAACCCATTGCCATTGTTCTTGAGTTCTCAGTAGTCCTCATTGTCTACTATGTTCAGCGAGTCCGGTTTTATCCCAGGCTTTTTCAGACCCAGGCCAGCTGGCCTTGGTGAGTTCCCAATAGAACATCCCCATTTTCTCAGTGTGTGGGTGCACCCCTTGTGGTCCTGAGTTCCTTGCTAGTGCTCTCTCTCCTTCTGCTCCTGATTTGGACCTTGAGATTTCTGTCCGGTGCTCCAATGTGGGTCTCTGTCTCTGTCTCCTTTCATTGCCTGATGAAGGTTAATATTCAGGAGGATGCCTATATGTTTTTCTTTGGGTTCTCCTTATTTAGCTTCTCTAGAATCACTAACTATAGGCTCAATGTCCTTTGTTTATGGCTAGAAACCAAATATGAGTGAGTACATCCCATGCTCCTCTTTTTGGGTCTGGCTTACCTCACTCAGGATAGTGTTTTCTATTTCCATCTATTTGCATGCAAAATTCAAGAAGTCCTTGTTTTTTACTGCTGAGTAGTACTCTAATGTGTATATATTCCATACTTTCTTCATCCATTCTTCTATTGAAGGGCATCTAGGTTGTTTCCAGGTTCTGGTTATTACAAACAATGCTGCTATGAACATAGTAGAGCATATATTTTTGTTGTATGATAAGGCCTCTCTTGGGTATATTCCCAAGAGTGGTATTGCTGGGTCCAGGGGTAGGTTGATCCCAAATTTCCTGAGAAACCGCCACACTGCTTTCCAAAGTGGTTGCACAAGTTTCATTCCGACCAGCAATGGATGAGTGTACCCCTTTCTCCACAACCTCTCCAGCAAAGGCTATCCTTGGTATTTTTTATTTTAGCCATTCTGACAGGTGTAAGATGGTATCTTAAAGTTGTCTTGATTTGCATTTCCCTGATCTCTAAGGAAGTTGAGCATGACCTTAAGTGTCTTTTGGCCATTTGGACTTCTTCTGTTGAGAATTCTTTGTTCAGCTCTGTGCCCCATTTTATAATTGGGTTGATTAGCCTTTTACGGTCTAGTTTCTTGAGATCTTTATATATTTTGGAGATCAGACCTTTGGCAATTGCGGGGTTGGTGAAGGTCTTCTCCCAGTCAGTGGGTTGCCTTTGTGTCTTAGCAACAGTGTCCTTTGCTTTACAGAAGCATCTCAGTCTCAGGAGGTCCCATTTATTCAATGAGGTCCTTAATGTCTGTGCTACTGGGGTTATACGTAGGAAGTGGTCTCCTGTGCCCATGTGTTGTAGAGTACTTCCCACTTTCTCTTCTATCAGGTTCAGTGTGTTCGGACTGATATTGCGGTCTTTAATCCATTTGGACTTGAGTTTTGTGCATGGTGACAGATATGGATCTATTTTCATTCTTCTACAGGTTGATATCCAGTTTTGCCAGCATGATTTGTTGAAGATGCTCTTTTTTCAATTGTATACTTTTAGCTCCTTTATTGAAAATCAGGTGTTCATAGGTTTGTGGGTTAATATCAGGGTCTTCTATTCAATTCCATTGGTCGACTTCTCTGTTTTTATGCCAATACCAAGCTGTTTTCAATACTGTACCTCTGTAGTAGAGTTTGAAGTCAGGGATGGTAATGCCTCCAGATAATCCTTTATTGTATAAGATTGTTTTGGCTATCCTGGGTTTTTTGTTTTTCCATATAAAGTTGATTATTGTCTTCTCCAGATCTGAGAAGAATTTTGATGGGATTTTGATGGGGATTGCATTGAATCTATAGATTGCTTTGGTAAAATTGCCTTCATGCAATCTCTTAAATGTAATCCCCTATAAAATGAAAATCAAAGCAAAACACATTTCCAACATGTAATGGCATAGGATATACATTACCATGATTATAGAACATAGGGAGGGGAGCATTGTGAGGAAATACTGGACCAAAGCAAGACTGAAAACCAGCTGGGCAAACTCCAAACTCTGCATCTCTGTGTCTGATGTCCAAACACTCTTCAGATCTCCAATTCTGTTAGATTTGACTATTACACACTTCTTTCTCTTTGGCTGGTTCCACTCCCTGTTAGCAGCTTTCCTCTGCAGATATCTCATGACTCTGGCATCTCCAGTGCCTTGGTTCTCTAAGGCAAGTCAGGCTTCAACTTCACTGCTTCATGCACTGACCTCTCTACTAAGCCTCCATTCAGGGATATCTCTGATACATGCTTGGCCTCAGTGGCTTTATACCATAGCTCCTTTCTTCTATCCTTAACTCTAAAGCCAGAACCACATGGCCAAAACTGTGCAGTTCTGCTGTTTACTGGGACTGGAACATGCCTCCCCCCTCCACTTGTTCAATTACCTCTTCACCAGCATTGTTGTTTACTGCCTAAAGTTGGCTGCCCAGAAACTCGCTGTGTAGACCAGGCTACCTCAGACTCAGAGATCCACCAGCGTCTGTCTTCCCAATGCAAGGATTAATGGTGTGCCCTGCCACACTGGGTTCTAAGCTTTTCTTCAGTTCCTTTTTACACATTGGAAACTTAACTAAACTTAACTGGGTGAGACTTTGCCCTGAGGTCATTCATTATTCACTTTATCTGTTTATCTCCTTGAGCAACATTCCACTTTCTGGTTACCTTTTTCTCCTCAAATGTTTTTCCTTGCTCACCTTGTTCCTTTAATTTTAAATCTTCATTAGAGTTGCCACTAATATCCACACAACAGAATCTATATGAGGCTGTTTTGAGATTTTTTTTTTCTGCCAACCAAATTAATCCAATTAGCCCCATGCAGACTCTCTGGACAAGGGCAAAAGACAGCCACTTCTTTACCAAAATATCACAAAAGCAATCTCTAGGCGACATGCTAAAATTCTTCTCCTCTGAAACCTCCTGAGTGTGCACCCCCATAGTTCAAATAATTCTCAGCACCACTGTCTTCCATGTTCCTACTAGTATGGCCCATTAAGCAATGCTTAAAGCATTCCACTGCTTTTCTAACTCAAAGTACCAAAGTCTAAATTCCTCCAAACAAACACATGGTCAGGCCCATCACAACAATACCCCAGTCTCTGGTACCAACTTTGTCTTAGTCAGGGTTTTTATTGCTGTGAAGAGACACCCTGACCATGGCAGCTCTTACAAAGAGAACATCTAATTGGGGTGGGTCACTTACAGTTTCAGAGTTCCCACTATCATCATGATGTGGCCCGCAGGCAGAAGTGTTACTGGGATGGCACACTTTCTCAAACAAGGCCACTTTTCTAATAGTGCCATTCCCTTTATCCTGTTGACGTGTGTGTGTGTGTGTGTGTGTGTGTGTGTGTGTGTGTGTGTACATGTGGGGGGGGGGGGTTGGCAGGAGTTGCTTATGAGATGGTGTTCATGTGGAAATCAGAAAAAAACCTGCAGGACCCACACTCCCTTCCTCGGGTGGCAGGAGACTTTATATAGTTCCAGCCCTCACTTCATCCTACACTATTCTTGTAGCTGTCACTGACTGTGAAGCCAGGTAATATGTATACTTCATGGGGTGTATCTGTCTTGTTTGTGAGCAGAACGCCAATGCCAGGTCCAGAGCGGGCACTCAGCGCACACTTGTTATTAGTTGTACAACAAAGTTGTCCACACTGAAAAGTTGCGCAGTCGTCAAACTTGGATCAGGGTTTCATATGTTATATTTTTTATTGAGTGTCTGTGTGAGAGTAGAGATTCCACAGAAGCTGGAGAGTGGGAGGAATCCTGTTGGCAGTGAGCAGACATCTAAGATAAGGAATGCACAGGCCAAGCGTGGCACTTGTATTTATGTTTTTGAGACTGAATACTTAGCAGTTGCTGGAACCAGCTCCTCGTGGGGGAGGTTGTTGTAGCAGTGAGGAAAGGGCTGTAAAATGCTTGACAGGGAGGTCCAGAGGAAAGGACGAGGTGGACACAGGATTCTAGAATTTGGAATTTTGTGGTGGCAATGCACCCGGTAAGTAAGCCGTAAAGTATCGTTTCCTTTGTAATAAGACATTTATCGAGCCATCCAGAGCACAACTTGCGCACACACGCATGTGTGCAGAGTTATACTCCCAGTTACTTAGGAAGTTGAGGTAGGGGGATCCACTCAAGGCTTACCTTGATACCTCAGTAAGATGCAACTTAAAAATAAAAATAAAAAGAGTGAACGACCTGTGAACACAGCTCAGCAGTAGAATGTGAAGCCCCTGGTTCAGTCCTTCATTAAAAAATAATAATTTAACGACTCTTCTAATTGAAAATGAACAGACACCCTTACTGTACCTGGAGTTCCTCTGGTAAAGCACAGTACTGAAAGGATGATGTCAGGACGTGAAGGGATGGTGAGAAGAACTGGAATTAACCTTCCACTGGCGTTGGTTTAGTAGATGAGGTAATGTGCATGACAGACACCGTGTGACAGGTAGCCTTCCATGCGAATAGCAAACGGTACTGCTGTGTTTTCATTTTATAAGTCCATGTTTCCCTGACAAGTTGTTGTCTGGAAAAAATTACCCGAGACATTTTCTTATGATGCCATATATGTGTGTCTTTATTTTTAAAGCTGTTGAAGAAGATGACGGAAGCACCGCCAAGCACGTAACTGTGACAGAGGCTAACGATGCTCCCGATCCTCAGGTATGATGCGGTCTGCCGTAGTATGCATCTTTCTCTGCTGTGGGTGGTTAGGTCACGAATGAGGCAGATTTGCCTTATGTGTACTGTTATTACTCATTTTCATAGGAATAAACTGCTTAGTTTTGACATAAAGGCATTTCCAAAGAAAGACCCTAAATGGTTCATACAGAACTCCCCCTGTATCTGGGATGTTACTCTCTGTAATTTTAATTACTCACTGTCCAAAATTATTGAATAGAAAGGTCCCTCAAGTAAGCAATTCACATGTTTTAAATTGTGTGTCACTCTGAGCAGTGTAGCTCCATCCTACCCAGCATGCAAACTTTTTCTTTATTCAAAGTATCAATACTGTGTGCACTTCCTTCCCTTAGTTACTAGAGAGCTATTATCAGCTCAGCATCCTGGGTATTGCAGGGCTTCTTCAATTCGCCCTTCCAGGGTAGGCTGGTAAATCACAACGCCTACGTCACTCATCTCATCTCTTACCTGTTCTGTCATCTTGCGTCATCACAAAAAGGGTGACTATGTTACATTTTGAAAAAGAAAAAGACCATATTCATATAACATTTCCTATAGTATATTGAGTTAGTTGTTGTCTCTTGTTATTACTTAGTGTTGTTAATCTCTTGCAATCCTTAATATATAAGCAGAAATGAATCATACATATATAAAAATAGGGAGTTCAGTATTTATAGTTTTAGGACTCACTGGGGATCTTGGGTTGTGTCTTCTTCGGATAAATGGTGACTACTGCATAATGATTGATAGAGGAATACACTTCTTTCTCTCTTCTCTCTCCCTCCCTTCCCTCTACGTGTCTATAGGTTGATAGGTAGAGAGGAAAATAGGTAGGTAAGTAGGTAGATAGGTAGATAGATAGATAGATAGATAGATAGATAGATAGATGATAGATTCCACTTCTTAAAAAAAGCAAAGAAGTAGAAGAAGTTGGTCCTTATGACTGACCATCTCTTCAAGCTGGTAGAAGAGAAGGAACTTGCAGACAATGCCTCAGCTGCCAGAGACCCTGTGCTGTTGATCACTAATAGCGAAATCACAAATGGACAAGATTTTGAATTGTATACCTCAGTATCAACAACCATTCACTTTCTATTAAAATGAAATATTTGAGGACTCAGTGTGGTTATCCTACTGCCGTTTGCTTTGAAGGTCCCAAATCTATTGATTGTCCTTGGAACAATCACTTTAACTTTTGTCAGTCAAGACTGTAGAGGTTGTAATATTTTAATAAATTTATATTGTTATAATATGAGTGATGCTGTAGTTGAGTTTATATTGAAGTTATACTTCAGGCTTCAAGCATGCAGGAGTTCCCCAACTCTGCATTCAGAGATTTATTGGATCATTCATCCATTAGTGTAGTGTTTCCAAATGTAAGCTACTGTAGTTTTGTTTGTTTTCAACTTATCCTATGGGCAAAAAATCTGTTTGAATGCAACTTTATTTCTCAAAAGGATACATAAATTGTGACTTTATTCAACAGTAGCATCACCACACAGCTGTGAATTATGAGTGGTGTATGTCCAGGGGGATTTCAGAAAGAAGGAGGTTATGACCCTAATGTATCTGATAAAGCTTTTTGCTGCCTGCTCTATCAGTGTGTGTGTAGAGACCCATCCATCTGCATGTGTGTGAATCTCCTATCTTCACTGTAGAGTATATTTAAAGCAAATTGACATTTCTCTTCCTTCTTCCCAGTGCATGATAAAATATATACTGTGTAGAGGACTGTCCCACAGCTGTTGAAAACTTTGGGCATATGAAGGAGGAAGATCCACCTATTCCCAGGAGGTGTGGTGTTGTTCTCTGTAGGTTTTATACCTATCCCTTTGCAAATGTTGACATCTTTCTTCTATTAACAGTGTCTCTTTCTTCCTGAGAGACTCCGTTTCTGTGCTGCACTGTATGGCTAAAGTGAAGAGCTTGTTTATACTTGGTTCTGTACGCAAGCCCTTCTTCCTTAGCTGTTGCCTTTAGTGAGCTCCTTAGCTGTTCTAAAATCTGTAAATTTTTGTAGGGTAGACTTTGTGCCATGCAAAACCTAGTATGCATGGAGTGTGCGTGTGTGTGTGTGCGCGTGCACACCTGCACACACATGGAGGCCAGAGAGAAGGCCTTTCACTGAACCTGGAGCTAGGCTGGGGTCCAGCAAACCCCAGCCATGTTCCCTATCCATGCCCTGCAGTGCTGGGGTCATAGGTATGCACATGGCCACACCCGGCTTTTCACGGGAACACTGGGCACTTGGCCTCCAAGCCTCATGCTTGTGCAACAAATGCTCTTACTGCAGAGCCATCTCCTGGGCCCAGAAGAAGTGCATTTTAGTGATAAGGTAATGCAGTCATTGTTTTCAGATGTGAAAGCTGTGTTTTCCACCTTTGTCACAGAAAATATTGCTTATTTGTCCTCTGTATGTCCTTTGCATTTTTCATGTTTCATTTTCTGCCCCAAGGAAGTGGACCCACATTTTATGACTCCACTTTTCACTGGCATCTGTAACATTTCTCGGGCTGAAAGCCATGCGGACTTGAATTATGCAGTACAGAGAATTTTCTTTTTCTAAGAGAGACCTTGAAATAGGCTTTAAATAACTCTTCTGACAGTTACACATTAATCCTTCTCTTTTTCTGACTTAACAGTGTTAGGTAAACTGTTCATAATTAATTTCACATAGGTAAATTAAACAGACCACGAATATGAAAGTCTAGATCAAGTTATCTTGCCTCTTTTGTTCATGACAAAAATCCCTAAAATATATTAATAAATTCATGGATATCTTGAATTAAATTACTAAATTACAGAGCCATGGAAGGGTTCCCCTCCCCCAGAGAACATCTGGTTTCATGTTGTATTTTCAGGACAACTGTCCCATAAACCTTAGAGGATTTGTGATATCTCTGGGCTCAAAGCCCTCCAGGGAATAAAGTGCCGTCCATAAACTTCTCTGAAAGCTTTCCGCAAGGTTGTTATATATAAGTAGTGCTGTAAAATTATCTAATGAAAATATTAGTACCACAAAATTAAATGGAAACTGGAAAATCAAGACAGTAATATTCCATCTTTAATTAGAAAACATGAAATAAGTATAAAAGTTAAATTAATCTGAAACATACTTTTTAAAGTAACATTTATTATTTAAACTGCAGACGTTGGATTCATGCATTGATATATCTGGTTCAGATAAAACCCTTATTTTAAGAAGGCAAAACCAACAACAACAACAATGTCTGTATTTAAGATTCTCATCATGACATGAAGAATTTCTCGAAAATTTGTGGTTCTGTAGAAACCAAGAATATAGCCAGTGCCCCTCCGCTCATCTGTCTGCTGCTGCTGCTGGACGCAGTTGTCTACAAGAGCTCTGTGTGGGACTCAGTGTCTGAGTGAGTCCTTGTAGATCCTGCCCAGTGTGCCAGCACTCCCTGCTGGGACACAGCCCTGCCAGCCTCATGCACACATTCCCTCTGACACTCGCCACACTGGCAGCCAGAGAGAAGGGGAGACAGGCAGGAAGAGGAAAGGAGAGAAAGAACAGAAGGATTCCTCTGCCACACAGTATTACCAGGGAGTCTTCTGAGGTTTTGTGGGATGGCAGCATCTCCTCTGCAGCAGGGGATAGTGAACACTGAGGGTGCCATGGAGCAGAAATAAGTCTCAGGTGCGAGCATAGAATTCTCTAGATAGCAGAAATTTACCATTTTAAGAATACAGTCTTTAACGGGTTGGAAAGATGGCATTCACTGCTCTTCCAAAGGCCCTGAGTTCAGTTCCCAGAAAGCACATGGTGGCTCACAACTGTCTGATACTGTCTTCTGGTTTGCAGACGTACATACAGACAAAGTACCCATATGCATTAAATAAATAAGTAAATAAATCTAAAAGAATACAATCTTTAAAGAATGTTCAGTATTTACAAATATAAATAACCTACCCCCCCCCACACACAATTTCCTTGTCCTCTTGTCATAAAGGAGGGTACTTAATACAATTTACTCCTTTATACCGTACCTTTTACTGATTAAAAACACAACTTCATGATTTGTCCATATTTGGCATATTATAGGGCCCATTAAAATTCTGACAAACAAGAAATATACCCTCAGGAGGATGGCTAGGATGGTATTTAAAAGTAAAAATCAAATGGACCCTCAGTGATGCTCTAGATCAATGGTTCTCAACATATAGATATTTATATTACATATCAGATATTTACATTACAGTGCAAAACAGTAGCAAAACTACAGTTATGAAGTAGCAACAGAAATAATTGTATGATTCAGGGTCACCACATGAAGTACTGGATGAAAGGGTGGCAGCATTAGGACCTAACACATCACTAGATTTTACAGTTCGGTTTCCTTTCAGGCCAGGAGATGACAACCACAGCCCCTGCCTGTGCCTGTATTCAAATGTTACTGGACATAGCTTATTCATCTGCTTACCCAACACTGCTTGCTGATCCAAGGCTTCGCCTGAAGAGCCAAGTAGTTGCACACATACCCGAGACTTACTGTCTGGCCTGATATGAAAATTTTGCAAATACTTGCCACTTAGATGTCCGCTCTGTGCCTTTGTCTCTCATATCACCAGCATCTTCTCCCCAGTTCTTATTCTTAGTCAGTAACTTCTGGGGAAGAGAGACCTTCAGCAAAGAATCTTTGCGAGTACCACAATCAGACTCTGCCAGCCTGCCTGCATGTTGCCTCCTGTTCCAGTAGTTGGCACATTGATATTTAAATTTCTGTCTAGGGGTAGATCCTTATCTACTTTCCATACTCAAGGGCATTAATCTTGAAAATGTGTTCGCTCACATTCTCTCTCTCTTCCCCTCAGCCTTCCTCTCCCTCTCATGTGATCAAATTTCCCTGTGTAGAACATGATTTCTAACACAGATAAATATGCTGAAGTTCCCCTCATCTCAGCTCCATCGAGCCAGCAGAACTCCTGTTCTCATCATTCCTCAGCAGGGCCCAGTCTGT